GACATCCTGAGGGGAGAGCCTCCCTGAAGGAGCAGGCACAGGGATGGCCCAAGGACTGATTCTGCTGTGGCAATGGAGGGGACAGACCCCGAAAAATAAAGTCAGAGCAACAAGAAGCCCTGAAGGCACCTACAGCCTCTGCAACCCAGCAAGGTAAAAATCACTCAGCGGTACTGTCAGGCACCTGCCACTCAGACTAACCACTCGGTGAAACACCACACCTGAGAAAGAGAAGTAAAGCAGATGTGTTCCTTTTGTTTGATTTAGCAATCAGAGTGAAACAGTTACACTGCCAATTGCCCAACTCCATCTCCAACCGGCCAAAGCCTACACCAGACAGCTTACTTCTAAATCTTTATTTGTTTTCTACACAGAGAAAACGGAGGAATGTTGAAGCAGCAATATTTAAACACACTAGCAAGGAGCCATCGATCTGAGAGTGCACAAAACGCAACACAGGGCCATTTGTGCGGTGGTCTCTGCTAAGGGCAGGATGAGGGTAGGCCCAGGAGAAGCCTCTTCAGACAGACAGGGAGAGCTCTATGCAAAGGTGGAGCCATTCCAGCCCACGTTGGCAGCGTTCATGTCAAAGTAGTTGATGTACACCCTGCAGAAGAGACACAAGAAGACACAAACAATGACCTTATTAATTGATTTATATAATAATGAGACAGGACAACAGGACAGGGGACAGTGCTTCCCATGCCTCAGAAGTTTCAAGCTTCATTTTTACTGAACTCTAACTTCACTGGTAGAGCCTCCAAAGAATCAATATTCCTCAGTCCATACAATTGCACTTTTTCTGCTTTTTTAAAATACAAACTCCTTTTCAGCCAGTGACTGTCCAGACATCAGACAGCTTTTGGTTAGGAGCCTGTGAAGAATTTCCAGAGATGAAAACCTTTTGTTTCCAGTGCTGCACACATGTTAAACAGACACACAGCCGTACAAAAGCTGAGCAGGCCCTCAGGGCTGGTTCTGTGCTTCTCTCTTCCAACCCCAGCAGGTTGTTCCCTCCTTTGCCGCTGCAGGAAGACACTCTCCCAAGGCTCCGCAGCCTTCGAGGGAGCTGTTCACAGGCTGCTGGCTTCCACTTTGCCTTTCAGCTCCAGCCTGTTACTGCTCCTCCCTTGTGCTTTCAGCCTCCATCACCAGAGCACAAGACATCTCACCTCAGAGGCAAAAGACTCGCTGCACAACTCTGTCAGTCCTCAGGGATTTTTCTCTGCTCTGAGAACAGGAAGCCACTTAACAAAGACTCTCCAGGGTGAGACGCAGGCATCAAACTCTTGACATGAAAACACTGCAAACGATCACTTTATATTCTCCTCAAACACAAGGACTTATTCCTCGCTTTTTGTATTTTTAAATAAACTTCTCGAAGCACTTTCAGAAAGCCAGATGAACAAGGCTAATCACATCATGTCCCAGCCTTACCTGTCTGCGGATACATGCAAGTGCTTAGAGATCAGATCACACAGGAGCTTGGTGTAAGTCTTGTTCTGCTGCCCTCCTATTTTGCCGATGCTGTAAAGGCTGCAGAGCGCGCAGGGATCAGTGGAGCCCCCGAAGGACATCATCTGATCAGGTATGATGTGCACAGCGATGTACTGTGGTAAGAGAACAAACAGTTACAGGATGTCCCACCTTTCCTCTCCCGACACAAACTTGTTCTAGGTACTGACTTTAACCAGCACAGCCGTGTGCTGTGTTGTAGCCCCAGCAGCTCACCAGCTCTGCCCTCTGCTCCCTCCTGAGGCTCAGGCGCTGCAGCCCACACGGGTGGCATCAGTGCAGGCTGCGGGGACCCCCCCGCCTGGCTCTGGGCTTTAGGGGTGAAGGCTGTGTCCGAGCAAA